ATTAAACTGGTGGGCTGGAAAACTGGAATTAAGGACACAACGAAATAAAACAAGAATTTACTATCGAAAAATGAAATAAGCTCACGGTTCGAGGGCGTTGCTCATTTTTGATGTTTCCTGCTTCAAAATAAACTAATAAATCTACAATGCCGCCCGAAATAGTCAAAAAGGTGGCGGATGAGTATTCTTCACCCGTATCAGGATTTGGCTATTGGGTCCCCTAATCTCCAGTCGACCTTTAAAAGGGAGGCCTTTGTGGTGTAAAGGTTAGCACACTCGGTGCGTATTCGAGAGGTCCAGCTTCGAGTCCCGGCGAGGGCGTTGCTCATTTTTCATGTCTCCTGCTTCAAAATAGCGTAATGTCTTTAACGCCCATCATTTAACATGGGACTACAAGAATATTGAACAAGCTGAAGAATTAATAGCCTCCCATAATCCTTCACAATGATGACTCAGCCCACGTGTAACAAATGAAAGATAATATTTATATAATATTCTCACAACAAAATGCAACCTATAAAAGAATTATTTAAACAGCTAAAAACCAATTTTGAGAAAATGACTGCAATGAAAAGGATATCATGTTTATATTATTATATCAGTATCATGTTTTTCTGCAAAATTCTGTCCTTGAAGGTACAGAAAAGCAGTCACAAATCAGAAGCAATAATTCTGCTCCAAACACATCTGACAATATGCCTTTTACATCAAGATAAATCTCCCATATTATGCAACAACTCCCATAAAATAAAGTACCTGGACCAGAGGGTATAACAAATCGAATAACAAAACTCATTTACTCTACAGATCGAACTTTATTTTTGGACATGTTTAACAAGTGTTTACAACGAAGCACATTTCCATAGTGCTTCAAATCAGGTCAAATTATTCTCTTAAGTAAACCTGATAATGATCCCAAAGATATAAGTTCATATAGTACCTGCAGTAGAAAAGCTCCTTGAAAGAGTAATTGCTTGCTTTGTTCGCCACCACCCAACAAAAACATTACATAAGTACTAATCAATACAGATTTACAACAAATAAATCGACGAGGAATGCAGTAGGCAATAGACTCAGCTCTGAATAAAATTCATTTTAATAACACAAATATTCTTCATACATCACTTATTCGTTCAGACCTCACGCAAACATTTGATTCATTATGGTTGCCATGTGTGACAGATGCATTAGAATCAAAATCTCCAGAAAATATATTGTTTATTACAAGATTTTCTAAATGAAAAAAGGGCATAATAATTCACAATAAATTAACTGAGGAAATTCAAAAAAGAGGTTTTCCAAAAGGTTCATGCTCAAGTGCAAACGTATGGAACCTAACTTTTAATTCAATTACTTCATGCACATGGCCAGATCACACTCAAAGTGTAGCATTTGCTGATGATGTGGCATTTGTAGTAAGTGGAAAAACTAAATACCATCTTGAAACTAACGTAAACGAAACATTTCACATATTCAAAACAGCATGTAGCAAACTGAAATTAAAAATCAGTGACGAAATATCTAAAGCCGTCATTTTCAATAAAAATTCTCAAAGAATTACTCGCCTTTCAAAAATCACCATTCACAACAATAGAAATAAATTCTTCCAAAACTTAAATTGTTAGGTATAATAATCGATTAAAATCTCAGCTGGACTGATCACTTACTAATTATATTTTAGAACAAAAACTACTAAAATAGCTAATAACCTAAGACATGTTCAAGGACTTAACTAGGGATTAAACCCATATATCCAAAAAATATTATTCAATATAGTCACTGGAAAAAATGGTCCCATATGGAACAGAAATATGGGTGCAACCTAGGACAAAGAGGAAACAAAAACAACTTCAGACAACTCAACGTCAGTTCCTTCTTGGTATAGCAAAATAATACAAAACAACCTCAACTGCTGCACTCTCCGTCCTATCAGGAATTATACCTCTGCACATCACAGCACAAATGGAACAGTACTAAAACTAAGAAAATGTATACTACAAGAATAATTAATTGATCCAATTAATTTCGAATCTCCAACGAATCCCTACAGAAGACATCCAACCACTAAGCCAAGACTATACTGCACTCTAAAATCTCCAACGCAAAATACCATTTTCCCTATTATATACACAGATAGTTAAAAAATGGAATAGGACTAGGTTGTGCATATATTGTAATAACAAGCACAAACCAAAAATTGATAATAAAAGCTCCATCTACTGAAGAAAATAGTATATTTCAATCCGAACTCATTGCAATCAAAATGGCAATAGATCACTCAATTAAAAATAAGCTACAAAAAATAAGTATATTCACATATAGCCAATCCACAATATTAGCTCTTCAAAATATTAAACACAACTCTGATATTGTGTAAAATATCATTAAACAGCGTTTCAATATCTTCTCTTATTTCCACTTGGAAATAAGAGAATAATAAACGAACTTCTTCGTTTCTTACTATACTATCAACTACAACTCCTCATGGCGTTTTCATTTTCATAAAGTTTATAATTTTAAACGAAAGTTGCTAGAGTATCTTCATCACAAGTTGTTTCAAAAGAAAATAGAAAACTTAAATTAAATTTAAATAATTCTCTTGCGCCGTTCCTGCAAGGAATGAAATTTGAATTTAACAAACGTTCTCTATTCGTAAAAAGCAAATTTAAAGTCAATTAAATTTTAAATAATGAAATTTAATAGCAAACAAATAAATGATTAATTATTGCTGCGAACTAATCTACAATATCATTTAAATTCTGAGAGCATATATAAATCAAGTTGCAAGTATTAAAATCCATGAATAAATAATTCCAAACATGTACTCGTCGGCAGTCTGGTCCGTTTCGCAGATTTATTAATTTTCAAGTACGGCGGGGGGGGGACAATCTTCAAATGTAAATGGAATCCGAAACAAAACGATTAGTCATATTTCAAAAATTCGTAACTGAGGATATTCGTCTTTGACGAGTACTAATAAAAGTAATTTGCATCTTCAAATCTTGTGTAAGATTTATATGACAGCGTCAATTAATAAACTTCATTTCTAGATTTTCCAGAGATTTGTGTTCATTTTTAGCGCTGAAAATAATGTAAAATTGAACCTCAAACCATTAAAATATTTTTATTCAAATTCTTGTCATAATAATGATAATTATAAGGAAATGTATTCGTGGGCCGCATAAAATTGCTTCGGTGGCCGCCAACATGAGGCCGCAATATTATCAAACGGAATTTTGAAAGAAACCAAGGGAGGGAGGAAAGAAAAGGGCCAACTCTAAACTAAAGTTACAATATACATTGTAATTCTTCGAAGCAGAATACACACCTTTGCGTAGTAGAAATACTAAAACGTAATAATTGCACCCAATCCAGTGCTAAGCAACAAACACTTATTTCTTTGGTCTGAATGCGATAGAACTATCGCATGCTTTTAGGGAAAATTTGAATACGATTTCATATTCCGAGACGGCCAAAAGGGAAAAGATACTTATAAAATTTCTCTTTGTCCTTATAAAATACACTACTTCGTTAATGATGCTAGTAGTCACACAACATGCAGAGATAAAATTAGAGAACACGCGACAGCGCGCAGTTCATTTTGTTTTAAATTTCGGATTCTAAATTAAACCGATGATTCAATGCTAATATGCTTCAATTTTAAATAAAATCGATGATGATTCAAAGCTGTGTATTTAAGTTAATTAATAATTATTTTAAAATTTGATTGAGTTAAAAAAATAGTAGTTCCTTTTTTTTCCATTTCAAATTTATAGACATGCCCAAAGACGAGGTCCCTGGTTATTGATAATGAGAGATAAAGAAAAAAAAAAAAAAACTGTTAAAAAAATCTGAAAACTTTCAGATTTTACATTACTCCCAAAGGGGGTGCTTATTTATCATTTTCTGTGTTATCTTTATTTATGAAATATCATGTTCTTCGAACTTAAACCATAAAACTCAATTCAACAGCAATATCCCAAAATAATTTTTAAATGAGCATATCTTTAGAATTTCCGATGCACAGTCTCGAGCGCTGGAGACATTTTTTTTTTTTTTTTTTTTTCCGTACAGTGTTGCCATTGCTCACTTTGAGATCGTTGTTCTTAATCGTTAAAGTTTTACAAACTAAGAAATAAATAATAAAATAAATTCGAAATTTGGGCTTTCAGATGCCCATATTTGGGTAGAAACATACGTTATTCAAAATTCGATGGCTCTAGGTACTGTCGTTTTATCCCTTGCGAGAAACATACAAACATTTATGCAGATTCTTCATTAGTTAATTTCTTTAAATATAACACGGGCCTGTAATATTTGGTGGCAACAATTTAAAAAGTGAATCAGCGCAAAATGCCAAAACGATTAATAGTCCTTTTGAGCAAATTACCCTTTCGGGTTAAAAAATTTCTTAATTTGGTTTGTAGAGTCAATGGGTTTTTTTTTTTTAAATCAGGAGACGTGAAAAAATGCGCAGCGCCCTCGCCGTAACTCGAACCTTGGACCTTTCAAATACGTTTCGAGTGGGCTTCCAATTACATCACGAAGACATACGTAAAGGGTGAAGAAAATACCTTATAGGTTAAATGAAAAGTTCCTCCGTGTTAGCTGCTTTCAAATTGTGCATTCCGCCAGTATGCATTTTGAAAGCGCTGGTGTAAATGATCGAGACAGCTTAGTTTAGACTGAAAATAACATTTAATTAATTTAGTTACAAAATCAGTAGCAATAAAAAAAAATTACAAAAAAAAAAAAAAAAAAAAAAAAAAAAAAAAAAAATCAGTAGCAAAACATTTTGTTGCTTTTGCCAAATTAACTTCTCCCCAACACACGTTGTAACTTAGAATGCATTTTTTATATTTTGTCTAATTATTGCACATAATTATTCTAGTTAATTTCAACTCAGAAGCAATATGAAGAAATATAAAATTTTCGAGTTGGGGGAAAAAACTCAGTAAAATATTACAAATAACTTGTAAGCTTTTATTAGAAAAAAAAAGGCACTAAAAATCATTTTCAGAATTTGAGTCTGTCATGGAATACAAAGTCATTAAAGTACAGATGCAAAACAGCGAAAAGTAAAATAAAATAAATATAAACATAATAAAAAAAAAAAGATAAAAATTGCACATTTTTTCATGATATGTGTATCGTTATTTTAGAACGTCAAACCAAATCATAATAAGGCTCGATGATTTCTTTCTTTCCTTTTCCTGGAAAAAAAAAAAAAAAAAAAGAGAGAGAGAGAGAAAAATATATTAGTTGTGAGTAATCTTTTTAGAAAATAAGTGCATAGAGAAGACGAGAAAGATGAAAGCTCAGCAAATGTGAAAAATTTCATCAGATAGATTAAAAATTAAAAATTTAATAAATCCTGATTTGTGAATAGAAATCATATAAATTATGTAGTTTCACAGACACATTATTATAACAGCTTCAAATAACACAAATAAGATTTTCCACCATTTATATTATTAGATAGGAACATTAATCTAAATTGTAGACTTTTATATCAAATAAGAATATTTATTCAAAATACGTTTCTTAAGTTAGTCAAGACATGACAATGTGCAAACACTAGAATTTAAGAATCAAATATAAATTTCAAATTCATTTTATGTAAATATAAATTTTAAAAACTAAGGCAAACATTACGTTTAAAATCCTGAAATGTTTAAGATATAAATAAATATTTTGGCACAAAATTGAGACCGATATAAAATTAGTTCATTAAATTTTATAATCCTTCCATTAATATTTTGTGGGATCCTTTTTCAGATTTCAAGAAAGAAGAATTTAGTATTGAAAATATTAATTTTATATTGGTATACTATGTTTATAGGCATACCAAAAAAGATTACCAAGGGAATACCAAAAAAGGTAAGTTTTTTCTCTCCTCCCTATTTTTACTACCTTCACAGTTGGAAAGGTAAACAGTGAGCGAGAGGGTACATTTCTGAGATTTGGTTTGGTTTAGTTGATTATGGCAAAGCACAGTAGGTCTACTTGCCTATGGAGAGGGATGCCTTCGTGGAGAACATTCTAAGGGAAACTGGCTCGTATACACCTTACACAATGGGAAAACCATGAAAGCTCCCATGCAGCCATCCTGTTGGCCTGGAATTGAAACCAGGTCGGAACTACCAGTATTCAGCGACTTTACCGCTCAACCGCTGATGGGCGCTAAAGTTGCGTAGTGCATGGAGTTTTTTGAAGAGAAAGGTTAAAGGTAGTAGTTATTGAAAAACTGTACTACTATTATTGTAGGCTGTACCATTCTGTACAGTCTAAACTAACGCAAACAGTTCTTTGTATTACGATGCTAATAATTTAATTGTTCGCCACAAATTTTCACGATACCTACGAATTTTTTGGCAACGAAAATATCACATTATTGAATCGTCCTTGCTGATAATTTTTTCTGTTTTCTCCAGTATCTGATCAAATTAATTCCATCTTGTTGGGGGTTTGACATTATTCATTCTCGCATAATGTAATATTTTCAATTTAAATTACCTTGTCTAACGATGACTACTCCTCCCCCCCGAGAATCATCATTATTACAAGAAATTTAACCTGAACTGACAATAACATTTTCGCAAGTATTACATTCAGATTTGAAAATTTTACTCAAAACTGCGCGAAGTTGTCGTCTAAGAAAATGAGATGTAGTTACTTAGAAACTCTTGTGCATCGTAAGTCCTCTTGTAGAGTTCTTTGGTTTTGTTCTGCTCAATTAAATGTCAAGAAACCTAGTGAACTGTTAAGAGAATTATCGCTTAGTTCAAAAAACAGAAATCGTAAACTCAAAACGTAAAATTCATCAACTCTTAATTACCCTTTATTAACTCAAAATAAGATGGCCCCTTTCTTCAGGCTTACAACAAAGCCTCCATTTGGGCTTGAACTCAAAAAAATAAGAACCAACTATATCTATTTAGGAGCTTTAGCGGAAGGTAACACAATTCTAACTTAGTTGGTTTGTAATATAAACCAGCCGGCGAACTACCAAGAGGCACGTAATAATGCGGCCGAGCGTAACAGCAGTTAGAGAGACTTATAGTCCAAAGCCTTATAGTCCATCGATAAATGAAACAAACATCCCCGGATATGCCTTTGGATTAGAAAAGAAGATCGTCTAAAAGGTAAGCCTTTTTACCTTTTATTTTCTAAGAATTATTATGATTATACATTTTGTTTCATTTATCGATGTACTACTCACAGAAAGAGAGAGGCCCTAAGATAATAAGATATTTAATTTACAATCACATCACTAAACTAAAATATATATATGTAACACAGAAGAGGATTACACGTTTCACTCAAACGTCCATCACGAGTTCTCAAAGTTCAGTAAAAAAAGTTCTGATTTAGTTTTTGCTGCGCGCATGCGAAAATCACGTGGTTGTCGGTGAGAGTTTCAACAGTTACAATATTAAAATGTACCTTATTCTCTTAAGATCTTAACACAACTAATGTTCGAACATGGCCAACAGGGGAAATGATCGACATATTATTCGACTCTTGCAAGTGTTTTGTAAGGTCGAATTCGTATCTGGAAAAAAGGACAGATATTCACTACTCCTCCCTGATGAAATTTTGGATGAATCAAACTTGTTTATTCTGAGGTTTCGGTTTCACAAACTTGATAAACTTATTATTCTGTTATGAGATTTTAATTAGCAAACTTTAGTACGAACTAATTCATTTTATTCCCGTACTTCCATAAATTTATTGTTCTATTTAAGGAATAAAATTAAAAAAAGCATTTATATTAATTAATTCATTTTATTCGTTTATACGAATAAGTTCAAATGAGTTTATTTTATGTTTGTGTTTTATTTGCTTGTTTCTTTCGGGTTTCCAAAATTTCTAACTTTTAAATATGTGGATAAAATAAATTGGATACAAAGATAAAAAAGATAAAATTTTTAAAAATAAAACTATAAATAGGTTAAAATATTAACTTTAATTCGCAAAAGCCACTTAACTCCTCTTTTTAATTTGGTGATTTTCCCTTTGCGTTCTAAAAGTGGTACCTGCTGATAATAAATCGCTCTAAACTACCTCTACTCAAAACTACTCCTTCTCATAGGATCCTTACAAAATGCTAATGACACAGGCACTTGCATAACGTTCCAAACAGAAATAATTTCAAATTTACAAATCGATAAAATTTACCAATCAAAATAAAGCTCAACCAAACTAAATCATTCTGAGCAGATTTTCATTTTAGACCCATCGTATTATCTCTCTTATTTCCATTCTACCTATTCAGTGCTGAGTGCTGCTCTTTTCTCCATTGAAACCAATTCTAATAAAGATGTAGCAAAGGAAAAATGTGAACAAGAATGGTCGCGCAGATTGCACTGTTGTAGGAATGTGATTTTTAAAAATATAGAGTGGCACAATTGCTACCATGTTTTGTCCATTGAGCTGCGTCACTCCGTGCATCATGATCTGTGCTACGTAATAAGTTTCTGAATTATTTTACACAAATAAAATTTTTTATGAATGCAGAAAATGTCTGATTACCTGACTGCTTATCAAGGATTACACTGCTGAGCGGACAATGGCCACACGTTGTACTATTCCGGAAAACTTCCCTGTTTAAAAGAGAAAATAAGACTTTCTAAATAACCTGTCAAACATTAATTTAAATATTATTTCAACATAAAAAAATTACATGTTTCTTATAATAAATAACAGTTTTAGTCTCAGGTATCAGTCAAAACATCATGCATTATAAGCATAATTTCGGAGTTAGACGCCTCCTAGTACTTAATTCTTTTTAAGTACTAGGAGGTGTTTGTTTCCTAGGATTTAATTCTTATTAAGTACTAGGAGGCGTTCCTTTACTACTAGGAGGCGTAAAAGTTTCAGAAATAGTTTAAAATAATTTAATTGATTTTATGCTTGTTAGTCACTGAAGATGAAGTATTATTAAATAAATAAGTTCCCCTCTCTCTGCCCTTTCAAATACTTTCATATTACCTCAGATACTGCCCGTTAAATTGTAAAGTCCATTTGATGCATTACATGCATCTAAGATGACAAACCAAAGAAAAGAGATTAATAATTCAACCTGATGCCCAAATTTCGAATGTGAGATCGACTTATTTCACAGATACTATTAGCCCAAGGGGATAATTTGCCCAGAAGGGCTATTAATTTCGTTTCGCCATTTTGCGTCGTCTACTACACAACGGCTTTTCACTTTTCAAATTGTTGCCACCAAAACTTAGAGCCCTGCTTTATATTTAAAGAAATTAAATAATGAAGAATATCCATGAATGGATGTTTGGTATTTAAATGTTGGATAATTATCTGAAACTACTAAGCAATTCCTGTTGAAGATGTTTTTTAAAAGGCTACAAACTATAGATAGATTCATTAGTTAACTTACTTCTCATTATTAGGAGTATCAGCAGTTGACATATCGACATATTCTGAAACGTCACAAGGATCATTTCCGCTGAATGACTTGCTAACATTGTATCCTAAATTATTATCTTTGCTCTCCTGTTTCTGAGTAGTATACGATGATACTGCTTTGATCGCCCTACGAAAAAAAAGAATGAAAATTAAATAAACAGCAACTGTTACATTTTAATTACTTTATTTCTTGTAATCCTGAATGAAAGGGAATGATTTTCCCATGACAAGATCATAGATATTATTTTAGATAATATAACTGTTTCATATTTCCAAAATTTGCTTTTTTTGCAATTCTAGCTATGTTTCCAAATTTCAGCCGAGCGACCTATCGAGCCGTGGGCTGTTTTCGACAGTAGAGAACGCTTTCTTCGGCGCAGAATTGCAACTCCATTTACTGTGTTAGATGTCTGTAATTATAGAATCCTATTTCAAAGCTGCCTAGCAGCGATACCAGTGATCAGAAAATTGGGAAATTTTGTGGCGGACTTAATAAAGAGATAAAAATGTCTTTCAGAAAAAAAAAAAAAAAAAAAAAAGTACAACTAGTGTCACCAGAGGGCATTACATCAATAAATTATACATTTAGTCACATTTTCACAATAGTTTACAATTTTACAAATTCTGTTACCAAAAAAAAAAAAAAAAAAAAAACTCGTACCACATGATGGCCATCATTTTCAGCTACCATATGAAATCTCAAGATGGCATGTTCCAGAGTTGACCAAAAAGTGTGCTGGGAAATGTTCAGCACGTGGCTTGACATGCTGGCTTTAAAATCACGTAAATTTCTCGGATTTTCACGACTTACCAAATGTTTAAAATTTCCGCAACGACAAAAATCGTATGGATTGAGGTCTGGGGATAGGTTAGGTCACACATTAATAAAGCGCCAGCTAATGATACGTTTTTCTGTAAAATGGCATTTAAGGACATTCGTTAAACACCGTGCAATGTGTAGAGTAGCTCTACCTTGTATAAAGATTGCGCTTGCAAGGCACTGACGTACTTGTACAATTTTCTTCTCTAACAGCGATGCACATCGCTGACAACTGATGGAATATGTAATTGGACCTGTGGAGCTTAGCTCATCGAAAAAGACGGGCTGAGAATAAATGACGCAAAAAAGCCATACCATACCGTCATTCGGGTGAATGCAATAGAACCTGAGACAGGGCGCGGATTTTCTGATTCCCAAATTCGGCAGTTATGAGTATTCACTGCATCGTCCAAATGAAAATGTGCTTCGTCTGTGTTAAAATCCTCTTCAAAGTCGGAAATTTCCATAGAGCAGCTACTGCGGAATTACTGTATCGCAAAACACTTTGACTAACATAGCGCAATCTCGTAAACTTATCGTCATTGTGAGTAACAAGCACATTGAAAACAAAGTCTCCAAGAATGTTTTACAACAGCTGATGCATGACTTCGACAACGATTTATATTTGAAGTAAAATGCCCTCTGGTTACGTTATTTGGAACTTTTTTTTACTTCTTTCTACGAAGTAAAAAGAATTATTGTAATCGCGAAAAATTTCGCGCATCATATTTCAACGAAAATATCAATTTTGACGGCTACCGAATGCAGTTTAACCATGTTTTTGCATGACATCTGCACATAAGAACAGAATAAAAGACTTTTCTTCCAAATAATCATAAACTATTTTAAAATGAAGTCTGAAGAAAATATTTCGTGGCTTCTGTACGTCCGTATCTCGCATAATTCAAAAACGAGTAGCCGCAGAACGTTGAAATTTTGTATATAGGACGGCTATAACATGTAGATGTCCACCTCGTATTTTGGTTGCAATCGGCCGCACCAAACGTATAAGATCATGCAACATTTGATATGTATATATATATAATATATATATATCCACTCTGTTAAGCGGATCAGTAATCTCAGTTTCTTTATTCTTATATGTTTGTAAGTTGTGCACTTTTTGCTTTAAAAATTGATTGATTTGTATGCCTTTAGTAAATCTACATGCAGTATTTGTAGAATTATCAGCAATTTAAAAGCTGTTTAAGTGCGGTTAAGCCTAATTTTTAAATAACAAATGTAAACGAACACTGCGGCCATGTTCGTTTACATTTGAAACTTAACAGGATAGTGGATTTGTTGCCAATCTAGAGAAACTGTCTCGCAACAACAAAGATAAGGCCTTCATTTATTATTGAAAATTAAATCATGCTTAATCCATTCTGAAATTCATTTCAGGAAATAAGTATGCCACTCCTTCCTTTCTTACCTTCATGATCAGCACGACGATTCATCTGCAAAGTCACATGACAGCCAAAGCAAAGTATCTACATATTGAAAGAAAATATCCCTTCCCTTTTTCCTAATATAGGGAAGGTCTAAACCTAAGCTATCCTCCCACTGTATGGCGCGTATTGCCTAAGTTGCCGAACGCGATTTCACGAAGTTCGCCAAGTGCAGGTTATCTGAGTATCCCCAAAAGCATGTATCTGCCTTTAACAAATACATAAATATTTATTAATTATTTATAAATGTATTTGAAATGAAGAATTTTTTCACTTATAAACAACTGTGAAAGTACTGGAAGAAATCTAATTATTAAATGTATCTAATTTATAATGATTATAAATGTTATCTAAATATATAATAACCTTAATATTGAATTGTAAACATAAATTGAAATCCTGTTGACAAATACGTTATAAAACTATTTAAGCAAGAATTGTTCGTATTGGAAAGCAATCTGTTAAAAGGTATTGTAAAGCAATGCTATGAGATGTGCACTTAAGAACGTAATAAAGAGTTTTTGGAATATGTATTGTTGAAATGAAGGGTAAAAAAAAAAAAAAAAAAAATCTGATAAGTATAATTAAAAGAATTATTCCCCTTACATTTTATAATAACTCAGTTTACAAGTTTTAAATAATACTTAAAAAAAAACTTATTTTTATTACCTTTCAGAAATGTTCAGAGAAAGTTAAGTACTATTTAAGTTATTTCGCTAATTTCCTAATAATTCTCTAATTTAAAATGAACCGAATAGAGCATTAATTATAAATTGACTTACATTTTTCGATTTAAAAGATGCCTCAGAAACCAAAAAATCATGTCATATTTAAGAAAAGTATTTTAGGAAGAAGCTCTATAAATAGAAAGAAATAATCATAATTTTAATATTAATATACAATAAACTTTGACCTTAATTTTTGTATTTTAACCGAATCAAATCGAATTACCTTAATTTTTGTTTCTAATGTAATTAACGAAAACTTGTGAAAATATTTCATTCAAATTAAACCATTCTGATAAAACTGTCCTGTGAAAAGTATAGCATTTCATTCTGAACAAATGATCCAATGTTTTGGTCACCACGTAGGCATCGCCGGTGCTTCAGAGCAGGGTACGGGAAATACCTGTTTGGGCCACTCCATCTTACTTCCTGCCTCCATGTGAGGGACGGCTGAATTTTCCTCGATTCATCTCCTTTCAAAAAGTGATTGTAGAAAGGGTCAATATATTGAGACAGAGAACAAACACTACACGATACATGCCAGTTGCCTTCTTACCTTTAATAATCTGATCAGAACACTAATTGCTGTGAAGTAATTTCAGTGCACTAATTGTTGTGAAGTGATACACAGGCGTGAAATGCAATTCCATTTTCAATCATATGCGATCATTTTGGATTTGTCTCCTGATATTTTAATTCATCTCGGTTTAAAACGTAATCATGAGTTTGTCGAAACCTGAAATTAGTCAAAGCACACCTGTTTATCTAGTTGTAATATACAAAGACAGCGGGGGTTTTTTTTTGGGGGGGGGACTCTAATTTTAATTGTAAAAATCGTTGTATTTATCTGTGTTTGGTGTTTTTCTGTATTTTACAGGATTTGATGAAGATTCTTTGAGTTTTTATGTATATTTTTGCCTTGCTGCGGAGTGAGAAGGAGTGAGAAGGAATTTTAAATGAAATGCAACAAAAATGTGTTTATTTACAAGGAATTCATGTGGTGTCCACATCAGATATTTAATATAAAATAACATGCTGTTACTAGGTGCTTCAGAAATAAATCCAGTTGTTAAGAATATTAATTATCACGCGTAATCGGAAAATAACTGTTGCCTTCGGAGTAATTGCTCTGAATACGAATATTAAAAATAAGGTGTTTTATGGTTATTTCATGTCTTGTGATGCATGTAAATAGAATCAATAATTAACGTACTTTTCATAAATGCGGATGGCACGACCTGGGTAATTTGAACAATCTTTGGAAGTGAGAAGATAACTCCTTCTGGTTTTGTGGTAGAAGTTGTTTTCCGTGTCCTCGTAGTTGGATTCTGCTTTCTCCATGTGAAATGGCAGTAAATCACTCGATCTACATAGAAAATAATGGAAGTCAAACCAAAATTAAACAAATTACTTTTAAAGAATTGTTTCCGATCTAGAATGAAAGGCATTGGCGTTCCTCTGACATGCCATTTATTTTGTTATTTGACGTGCACCAAAATATGCTTAACAAATTAGTCTAGCCATATTTTTAAATTTTAGCCTACCTTTTTATCCAGTTATTTGGGGTATGTTTAACAAAAAACAGAACAAAACGTTCTTTGCCCTAGAGTTACTGTGTTTTTTCATATTTTCCAACTGTTTGCCATTTTCAAAAATTCGAACCTTTCTGCATCAAGTTTATGCATTAAATATATATGCTGAATGTATATATATTGTATAAACTTGATGCAGAAAGGTTGCAGAAAGGCATAAACTTGATGCAACTACGAGGATATATATATATATAATCGAATAACGGAATGAACGCAATAACTTAATCTACAGCAAAATTACAGTCAAAATGATTCTTCCGAAGACAGAAATTCCTGAAAGTTTTCAGAATCAAGTGCACAAAATAACAACTCAGTTTAAAAGTTGAGATGATGGAAATAAATAAATATAATTACAACCACATAACCACGAATTTAGTTATAAGAATTTATATGAGTATAAACAAGAATAAATCTGGCTAATTTATATCCTTGTGTTTCCAATACATGAATAGGGATGAGCTTAATTCTGGTATGCTAGAGTTATCGCCTATATTACATTTAAAGAAATTAAATAATAAAACCCTGCATGAATGTAGGTATGTTTCTCGCATTGTGAAAAAACAACGGTACCTAGAGTCATCACATTTTGAGTAACGTAGTCCTCCACCAGAATAGGGGCACCTGGAAGCCCTAACATTTGAATTTGCTTTATTGCCTACTTCATATTTTATAAAACATTAACGAATCTTTGATTGACAAACTAAACGATTACAAAGCACGCCATGTCAACACTGTACGAAAAAAAAAAAAAAAAAAGTTATCCCCAGATCGCGTTACTCTATCGGAAATTCTAAGATGCTGTTTTTAAATATTTTTAGCAGAAAGGTACATTAGCCTAAATGCTCTCGAAACATGTGTATGTGTGCATAAATGAGAAAAAAAAAAAAAAAAAAAAAAAAAAAAAGCCATTTGGGCATAATACAAAAACTGAAAGCTTTCAGATTTTTACTTCCTTGTACGAAGTGAAAAGGAAGTATTGTAATCGCGAAAAGTTTCAGGCAGCATATTTCAACGAAAATATCCATTTTGACCGCTATCGAATGAAATTTAACGATGTTTTTGCGTGATATCTGTACATAAGGACAGAATAAAATACTCTTTTCCTCCAAAAAAATTATAAAACTGCTTCAAAATGAATTCTGAAGAGAATTTTTCGTGGCGTCTGTACAAACGTATCTCGCATAACTCGGAAACGAGTAGCCTCAGAACGTTGAAATTTTGTATATAGTACTGCTAAAACATGTAGATGTGCACCTCGTATTTTGTTTGCAATCGGCCTCATCAAACGTATATAAATATATTTATATATACTATATCCATTCTGTTACCCGACTCGGTGATCTCAGTTTCTTTACTCTTATATGTTTGTAAATTGTACATTTTTTGCTTTAAAAAGGATTGAATTATGTTGTTCTTATCTTCCGGTTAAGGTTTATATGCCTTTAGTAAATCTGTATGCAATATTTTTAGAATTATCAACAATTTTAAAGTTGTTTAAGTCCCGCTAAGCTTAATAATGTATTTGATGGCGGCCATTGCTTGTTTACATTTGAAACAGCAGAATAGTGAATTTATTGCCAATTTAGAGAAAGTTAGCTTCGCAACAACAAAGATAACGCCTTCATTTATTATTGCGAATTAAATCATGCTTAATCCTTTCTGGAATGTTTTCGAGGAAATAAGTGTTTAAGATTTACTTCGTAATTTTTAATACAGATATTTTGACTTTTTATGTATTTTTGGCTTGTCGCGAAGTGAGAACTGAATTAATTGAATGAGAAATACTCAATCGTCTGTGAAAAACTGTTTCTTTTTTGTTTTGTTTGCTTAATTTCTTTTATACATCGTTCTAGCTTTATTATAGTATTTGAATAAAACATGTGGCAACGATTAGATAATTCTCTAAGTGATATAAATTTTGTGCATTCTGAGTTATAATATGAACGAAATATAATACTCTTAAGTGAGCCTAGCGCCAGAGTGTCGCTATGGCAAACAAATAGAGTGAATTTCAAAGAATGCATTTATTCTATTGTGGTTTATGTGTTGTCGGCGAAGTAGATTTAATTCAATCCAATAACTTTAAATGAAATGGAGGAAAAAAATGCCTATAATTTAATATTCCGTACAAAGAAGTCATGTGGTGTACACATCAGATTTTTTATTTTATTTTAAAGGATTCGCCGCTGAGATGACTTTCGATCACAATTGTATCAAATGGAAAAAGATTTAGCGTCTCTGCAGGAGTTCCCTGAGTGTACCGGACTGCGGCCAAGAGCTTCAAATGTAGGACAAATAACATTTACTAAAAAGCGATCAAAATTATATTTATATGCAGTTCATAGCTACCTTAACGCTAATAAGAACTTGATTTTCTTTGGTGTTTTAGGTATTACTTAAAATACTGAGTATTATAACGTTGAGAGTAAGGGACTGTCGACGATTAATTTTTATTGATCTACGAGGTAACCAAATATTAAATAATAGTTTAGGAAACACGGAGGAAGAAGAAATGTATGCCCCTGCGTACACTCGGCGAGGCATTCTATACATGAATCCCGTGTGTGTATAGAATCAATAAATCACTTACCTTTTAGAAATAGGAAAAGCATGAAGTGTACTTTCTAGATGACGTTTTGAAATGCGACTAGAAACACTCTGGCTGAATGCGTCCCAAACATTGCTTTTTGAATTGTCACAAGGTGATTCTGGAATTTCCACACTACATAATGGCCCCGAATCGCTCAATCTGCAGAA